CTAACCCTCCTGGTTGCAGAGAAAAGCTTGAAAACATGTCCCAAGTGCGATCTAATGTCTCAAAAGCCAGGAGGGAAATAAAAAACACCCACAGTTTACTATTTAAAAAACAACAACTCATGATTTTTAATATGATCTCATGATTTTGGCAGCGGGGGGAATGACTTGTGATTTTTGCACGTTAGGGGTTGGCATTACTGCAGGCTGTTGAGCCTGATTTTGTTCTCATGCCAGTATAAATCAGGAATAACTCCCCTGTAGTCAGTGGCACTGTAGCAGTGAAAACAGAATCAGTCCCTTTTGTGCTAAAACGACTTATTTTAGCTTTTAAAGAAGCAACAAGAAAGAACAAAAACAAAGTCTCTGGGAGAGAGAGAGAGAGCACAGTGTGTGTGTATCTATATAATAATATTCCAGGACTATCACTCTGTCCATGTACCACTCTGAAGCCTAGAACATCTGTTGCATCTGTGTGAAGTGATGGAAGCAGCTATATAAGTAAAAGAAGGACTACAGCTGCTCGGAACAGAATGGCTGCTCCCTCTGCAGGGAAAGTTTAGAAATCATAGCTATGTAGAGCTGGAAGAGACCTCAAGAAGTCATCTAGTCCATCCCGCACACTGAGGCAGGAGCAGGGCCGGCTCCAGGCACCAGCTTGTCAAGCAGGTGCTTGGGGCGGCCGCTCCGGAGAGGGGCGGCACATCCAGGGATTTGGCGGCAATTCGGCGGACGGTCCCTCACTCCGCCTGGGAGCGAAGGACCTCCCGCCGAATTGCCGCCGCAGATCGCGATCGCGGCTTTTTGTTTTTGTTTTTTAGTTTTGGCTGCTTGGGGCGGCCAAAACCCTGGAGCCGGCCCTGGGCAGGAGTAAGTATGCCTAGACCATCCCTAAGAGCTGACCCAGAGCTCTTAGAAATGGAAAGGTGCAATGCACAGAAAACAAAGGTGCAACTGTTTCAAGCTACTTTCGCTGGTATAAATCTGGAATTACTCCAGGTGTGACACTACACCCCATATTCTTCAGAGAAATATTGTTATTATATGATTATAGCATAACTAAGATGTGTTTTATGCAAGATGGCTCTTGTGAGATATCATTGGAAAGGTTATGATTTACTGAATATGATTATCGCATTTGTATGCATATATCATTTTTGTATCTTAAGTAAGGAATATTGACTATACATCTGTACTACAAAAGTACACCGGGAGAACGCCCACTAGAGAAAATACAATCAGTCTGGCTGGCTAGCTGGATACAAGTCAATAGACTATTGGGGAGAATAATAGGACTTTGAAGAGGGTAATCTCCCATCTCCCAGGGATGCTGCAAATGGACTTTGAGTTATGGCTGCAGGATCATGTGATTAAGTCACCTGATACTAGACTCCATAATAAAATTAGTACTTTTCCACTGGCCAGGGATGGGAATCAAACTGGAAGACAAAGGATTCCCGCCATATGTGAAACCTATTTAAGGCAGGGAAGTGAGATAATCAGGGTCTGTTCTTCACTGAATCCCCACCCAAGGTGACTGCTGTAAACACCTAAGACTGATCTGGGGAAGACAGGACTGAACTCAGGCTAGAGGGTGTCTGGCCTGTGAAAGAAATACCTGGAGTTTGAAGCTGCTAGCAAGAGCAGCTTGCCTTCAAGAAACTCTGCAATCTGCCTAAAACAACCTTTAGGGTGAGAAATAACTGCTTGTAACCAGTTTCTTTAGTATCTGAGCTTATGTTGCGTTTTTGTTTTGTTTGCTGGGTAATCTGCCTTGATCTGTTTGCTATGCCTTATAATCACTTAAAATCTATCTGTTGTAGTTAATAAACTTGTTTTCTCTAAAACCAGTTTGTGGAATTCATAACTGGGGAGCAAAAAGCTGTGCATATCGTCCTCCACATTGAGGGAGGGGGCGGATTTCAGGAGCTTACGCTGTACAGTTCTCTGTGCAGTGCAAGACAGTACAATTTTGGGTTTACACTCCAGAGGGGGTGTGCACTTGAGTGCTGGGAAATTCCTTAGCTGAAGCCTTCCCCTGCAGTGCTGATTTCAGTGTCTGTCTTTCTGCAGCTGGGCGTGTCCCTACCTGTGTCTGTGCTGGAGGAGGCTTGAGAGGGCCTGGCTCAGCAGGACAGTGTAAGGGAGCCCAGGCTGGTGGAACAGGCAGGCTCGGTGGTACCCCAATACATCAGGTGGCACCCCGAGGGGGGAGCAACCCGTCACACCAGGTTTACCCCAGAGCGAATGAGGTAAGAATCTGGCCTGCAGCCTTTAAGATCTGCAGAACCCTACGCAGATAGGGCTTTATGCATCTAAATCAACACCTTGAACTGCACTCGGCACCAGTCTGGAACACCCCGTGAATAAAGCACTTGGCTGTGCACTTATTGCTGATGCTCACCAGATTCTGTCAAAACGGTGACAGAGACGTAGAGCGAGTGGCCAACCAGTTCATGCAGGTTGGCGAACGGAGCCCGCAGCATCTCTCTGGTCAGCGTTGCTTCCCCATCTCCGTCTTCTATCTAGAGAGGGAGAGAGAGTTTCATGACCTCACCCACGCAGTTCCCCAGGAGGCGTGAATCCCTCCCCCCCCAGCCGAGAACAGGAATTACCGAGATTCTCTTGAGAGACTGTGGGATACTCCTCTTCTCATCATCCATCTTCACCCCAAAGAGGACAAAGGCATTGCCATCTAGTTTTTTTCCATATAGGTACCTGGAGGAGATACGGATGGGTAAGAGAAGCCACAAGGAAACCTATTTCCAGAGGTGAAAGTAAGCCAGTACAGTCCAGTACGGTACACTGTACCGGACCGGCTTCCCCAGGCCAGCGATTTAAAGGGCCTGGGGTTCCCGGCAGCGGCTGGAGCCCCAGGCCCTTTAAATTGCTGCCAGACCCCTGCTGCCGGAGCCCCCGGGTAGCAAAGGCGGCCGGGAGCCCCAGGGCTCGGGCAGTGATTTAAAGGGCCCAGGACTCCGCTGTGATAGCATGGCCGGGAGCCCAGGGCCCTTTAAATCCTCACCAGAGCCCCGGCTGCCACCGCAACCCCAGCGGCTCCGGCAGCGGGGCGCTGGAGGTGATTTAAAGGGCCCAGGGCTCCAGCCGCAGTGGGGAGCCCCAGGCCCTTTAAATCGCTGCTGGAGCCCCACTGCTGGAGCCCAAGGGTAGCGGCGGCGGTGCTCTGGCAGTGATTTAAAGGTCCAGGGGCTCGCAGCCGCCACTACCGCAGCAGAGCCTCGGGCCCTTTAAAGCTCTGCTGGAGCCCTGAGTCCTGGGGTAGCGGTGGTAGCCAGGGGCCCCCAGGGCTCCATCAGCCATTTAAAGGGTCCGGGGCTCCGCTGCAGTAGCGGCGACCAGAGCCCCTGGCCCTTTAAATTGCTCCCGAGCCCCGGGGCTCCAGCCACCGCTGCAGCTGGTAGCTCCGGCGGTGATTTAAAGGGCCCGTGGCTCCCAGCCACCGCTATCGCAGCCGGAGCCCTGGGCCCTTTAAATCTTGATTTAAAGGGCCTGGGGATTTAAAGGCCCCGCCTCTTCTGGTTGAGGCCCCGCCCCCTGCTCAGGACTCCAGCGTACTGGTAAGTCCTTTAAGTTACTTTCACCCTTGCCTATTGCTGAAGATTATGACCTCATGCCACCCTTCTCCTCTATAGGCCCAGCTCCTTGGTTGGTCTATATCTCCCATGATCCACCATGGTAAGGAGAAGTGGAATATCATGGCTATAGTGAATCATGGGAGTTTAAGTCCAGCTGGCAAGCCCAGCCCATGGAGAAGAATGAAGCACCTGAATGCCAACTCCCAAGAGGCACCACACCAGCATTTCTGAATCACAAGGTTTTCAGCCAATTTTTTTTTTTTTTCCATTTTTGGACATTGGTTTTTGGATGAAAAAAAAATCAGAATTTTCCTTGGAAAATGGATGCTCTTGATGAAAAAAACAACAGTGAGTGGAAAACATTCCCAAAGTGATACAAGATTTAGGTTTCTTTCTGCATTAAAACCTGTGGTTGATACCCCAGTCAGCTGATCCCTTCCACCCTCTCACAGACGCACCTCGCAGTGATAGAAACCCTGAAGTCTTCATTGCTATCGATGTATAAAAACTTCTCGGACGGTTCCAATATGACTTCAAAACTCGGCAACACTGGAGAAATGAGAGGGGAAGAGGAGAACATTGAGCTTGTAGGAGAGGGTGGGTTGCCAGCAAAGCCAAGCCGAATGGAGAGTCTGCTCCAAGATGGTGTCAGGAGAGTAGAGACAGACCCGGTCCCTGAGCCTGGGCCCGGTGCGTGCTGGATTCTTACCGTCCTCCTTAACATCAAATTGCGCACTGAAGGTCTGCTGAGGGGAGTCTTCATACCTGGCCGTGATCTTCCAGGTTCCCAGACTGGAGGAAGGAAATAAGAAGGAACACTGAATGCACTTAACACACACATTTCGCAAGGCCCACCTGGCTCACTTGTTTCTTGAGTAATTGTATCAGCTCCTGAAGCTAAATCTGAGTCATACATGGAACTCAAGCCGTCTTCAGGGAACCACAGGGAACCTCAGACAAGTCATTTTTTGCTGCACCTTGATGTTTTCATGAACCAGAACTAGAGGTAGGAACTTGGAACAAAACCTCCACCTTTGGCCAGCAAGGTTTGGGAAGTTTGGATCTAAACTTTGTGGCTGGCACTTGTTTCTACAGTCTGCGTGGTCCAAAACCCTCAATCCAAACACCCTCAAACTTAAGGAACCTCTGATCCATACCAAAATCAGGCCCCTCGCTCACCAGCTCACTGACGTAATTTTCAGAGTAGTTGAGCATTCATAAATCCAACTGAATGGGAGGTAGGGTGCTCAGCACTTTTGGAAAACAGGCCAACAGGGTCTAATCCTGCCTTCACATACTCTGGAATAAATCAGCTTCAGTGCAGCTTTATTCTGGTGTCTGCGTAGACTTGGAAAGATTAGTTTTTTATCGATACGTGTCATTGATTTCACCGTGCACACGCATACCGACAAAAACACATTTCCATCGATAATATCAAAATTTACAGATAGGCAAAGCAAGAAAAATGCGGCTTGAGAACTTACTATCGTTTGATTTAAGGCTTTATCCTTTATACCTTGTGTATTTGGACATATGATGTTGAGAATTTGTGTTTTAATGGATATAAAGCTTTCCCTTTTTTGAATCTCATTGTCTACTGTCATTAAATAATTATTTTCAGACCCCGCCACCGTTGTCTGGCCCCCCATGTTTTCCCCCACCTGTGAAAATTTAAAGTGCTAAAAATCAGAATGGGGGACGATAAAAACCCATAATTTTAATTTTGCACAACTGAGCATTTGAAGTGATTGAAACTGGAAAAAAGGCTTACAAATAAACATGATTATCCATCGAAACTATAACAAATACCAATCAAATTATGCCAAGACTGGGTATGTGGCAGGAGAGTTTGTTTTCTCCACGTCACTTGGAAATGCCTGTAGGAGATGATCTAGCTGAGGGGCCACACACAGTAACTAGCTCCACATCATCTCCTCTGCTTCCCTGCCCAACTCCTGCAAAGCTCTGCTCAGGCCAGGCATAGTAACATCAGGACAATCTACCTGACAATCTCCGGCAAGGTGTGGTTCAGGGAGAAGATGCCGGATACCAAGGGGGTGGAGATGAGAATCTGCTTGACAATAATGGACTCAGGGCTCTGGAAAGGAAACGAGTTAAAAGTTTAGGGAGAAAAATGCTGTTAATTGCTCTTAACAACATCATCTGCCACGTTTACATTCCTGGGCCAGTGGAGGGTTCTCCATACTTCCAACAATAGCATGTAACAATCTGGACTCCACTGATTTGTTGGAATTTCTTAACTAGCCAGAGACACTGGGAAAACCGACAAATCTCTCCTGACCTGGCTCAGCGAGGCCAGCAAAGAACTCAAGGAAGCAGCTTAGAAGACTGAAGAGCCTCCACGGCAGAATCTTGCAGACGCCAGGCTTAACCCTGAGCTATCTGCAAACCTTGGAGCTACCCCAAGGGCCGCGTCGCTCTGCCAGCCACAGCTGCTCCCCATCACAAGGCCCCAGCTGGTTATGCTGCTGCTCAGGGCAGAGTGTCAAAGAAAGGGGAAACTGAGTCAAAGAGGAACTGAAGGGACAGGTGTGTTCTCTCCCCTCCCAGCTGGCTGAGGTGAGGAAAACCCCAGGGGATTATTGCCCAGGGTTTTGCAGCTGATTTACTTTATTTTATGGATCATAAAGCCCAGTGGAAAGGGCCTTAACAGGACTAACGCCTGGAGCTATAATCCTTGTTCCTGCCACCACTTTACACGTCCTTCAAAGGGCTCCTTGCAGTGCCTCCTTGTCTTCAGCCTTCCCAGACAAGCACCTGCCTGGCTCTTCCCAAAGAACTCCATGCAACTTTGCTCAAGCGTTAACACCATTGCAGAACCGCGGGACCTCCCCCGAGAGCTGCCTGGCTGCTGCCCCTGCAAACTTTGTAACCTCCCTCATGACTGGAGGAGAATTTGCACGCAAGAGGTTTGCAAGGAGAGACCTCAGACAATCATTTGCTTTTCTCCCGGCCGTACCATGTTGCTGCTACACACAATAAATTGCTGCGCGTTACCCAGACAAGTGGCTAAACCCACCTATCCCTGCACGGGCTCACTCAGAACAGCGACCTCACCTCAAACTCCACGATCACTGTCTTAGACACTGGTTCCAGTTTGTGACCCACGGTGAAGATCCGGTAGAGGACTGAGAAAATAAAGAGAGAAGAGAAGGATGTTGTTAACTGATAGACACCTTGGCCCAGATCCTCAAAGCTACTTAGGTGTCTAAGTCTGATTGAAACCAACGGGAGTCCGGTGCCTGTCTTGCTTTTCTCCCCTGTCCCTAAGTACCAGGTGGGCGGGCTTTGTCATTGCAGGGACCTGTCCTGCTCTGAATGGGCTGGGATTAGCAGACCCTATTTCACACAGCCTTTGGGACGGCCGTCAGATGGGGACATGTATCTCGGTACAAGATGGAGCAGAACCAGTTACTGGATTTGAAAAGTTCCATCGCCCATTCTCAATCCCATGGCCCACCCAGTCTTTCGATATCTAACACTCAATGGGACATCCCAGCTAGGACGATGGTGAAGGGTGAAATATTGCAAATCGGTGGTGGCAAAGTCTCTCATCCAACTGTCCTCCATCTTCAACTAGACAACAAGCAAAGCAATATGCACAGGATATGACCCGGCAGCCCTGCTGTAGATATGGCATGACATCAGCAGCTCCCACCCCTTCCCATTAGAAGAGACCAGGGGAAGGCAGTACCTCTAGACCCGGGTGTATAGATGGTTTTATCTGTCTGGATAAAGATGTATCCACTGTGGAAATGGACCAGAACCACTTTCTCCAGGGTGTGCTGAGGGAACTTAGCCTGGACCACAACATACTGGTTTCGTTTAGAATCTTTCTTTATGTCTTTGGTGGGAACCTGCATGAGAAGAAGAGCATGGACGAGTTCTTCCTGCCTTTACTCACCACTACAAGGGACGCTCTATGCAAAAGACCTTTGCAGTGTTAACGACACTTAAGTTATACATGGAAAGAATCCATAAGAAACCCTGGCCTTTTATTAACCCGCTCTACATGCAGTTCCTCCAGCAGCTTACACAGCTGCGAGAAGATGGTGGGTCTCCTCATTGGGGAATACCCCAGGTGGAGGGGGATTCCCAGGATGACACAGTCAGCGTAGGTCACCACCAGTGAGTCAGGCCAGACCATTTGGACAGCCCAGTACCCATTGTCCGGTCACCTCCTGTTATATGGAATGTTTGTTAACCAAAGGGCATCCCATGGGTGCCCTGCTGAAATCAGTTCTACTGCACTGATGTGCTCCCAACTATTCCTACTGTGCTCCTCTAAAACTGTAACATCTTGGAGACCTTCCCTCTGTCCCCTCAACTCTCCATTCCCGGCCAGGACTTTGGATCAACTCAAAACGAGAATCCTGCTCCACCAGGGAACCCCAACCAGAAATGCTGCTGTGCCCAGCGCAGACTAGGGACAGGATTTGGCAAACTCTGAGCAAGTTTCCCAGGCAGTGCAAACACGAGCCATAGTGCATATGGTTATGTGCCTGACCACAGAACCTCGGTGCATTGAATGAAGAACCTCCCAAGTCAGCGGAGACACCAATAATTGGCTTTGACGTGTTAACAGGAATTAAGACCAAAGTATTCACCAAAACTCTTGTGACTTTAACCATTTCATTGTCGTCTCTTTTTTTTATTTATTTGCAATGGAAAATGCCAAAAAAATGAACAAAATCATGTCATTTGCATGTTTTGTTCAGTACAGGTTCTTGTACCACCCCTACCACCGCAATACCTGAGTATCTCCCAGTCAGGCATTAAGCAACGGAACTACTATCTGTCCAATGTTGTTTGATGTTAGATCTCCCTGTGATTCAGTTTATCTATTTAAGTTATTATATGGCCCCTATTACCATGTCAGTATATTATTACCCAAGTGCCTCAATTTTAATGCATTTACCCTCACAGAATGCCCCCTCCCCCTCCCCCGCACACAAAATAAAGAAGTGCTATTATCTATATTTCACAGATGGGAAAACCCTGAGGCACAGAACAACTTACCCAAGGACTCAGAGAGAGTCTATGACACAGCTGGAAATCAAGCCCACGTCCTCTGAGTCCCAGGCTAGCACCCTAACCACCAGACCATCCTTCCTCTCAACTTTTTTTCTTCTACCTCCAAATTTGAGGCACTTCAGTTTTTAAGTCCCCAACAAGAGACCCCCATGGTGCTTATCTGACTAGTTAGCTATACGTCCCCCATCACTAATAGATTCGTAGATGTTACGGCCAGAAGGGACCAACACGATCAGCTAGTCTGACCTCCTGTATAACTAGGGCCCAACCAAATTCATAGTCCATCCTGGTCAATTTCATGGACCTAGGATTTGAAAATTAGTCAATTTCATGTTCTCAGCTGTTTACATCTGAAATTTCAGGGTGTTGTAACTGTGAGGATCCTGACTGAAAAGGGATTCATGGGGGGGCGGGGTCGCAAACCTGTTATAGTGGGGTCATAGGATTGCCACCCTCACTTCTGCACTGCCTTCAGCTTCCTGCAGCCGCAGGAAGTTCCCAGAGCTGGAGGTGGGTCTGATCTCCCCCGTGCTTCTGGGAGCGCCCCAGCCAGGGGCTCCTAGCTGCTAGTCCCAGCCAGGCTGGGGAGGGACTGGACTTCCTTTTCCCCTGCACGGCCCTCGGGGGGAGATCAGACCCACCTCTGTGTACCTCCCCTGGCTGGGGCATTCCCAGCAGCATGGGGGAGATCGGACCCACCTCCACCTCTGGCAACCTCCTGTGGCTGCACGAAGCTCTCTGGAGCTGCTGCCCAGCGCTGGAGCTTCCTACAGCCCAGGAGAGGTCCCCAGAGGTGGGTCTGATCTCCCGCAGAGAGCAGCTGTGCAGGGCAACAGTAAGTCCTGTCCTTCCCCAGCCCTGAGGGGACTAATAGCTGGAGCCAGGGGCATGGTAGGAGCCCCCGGCTGGGACGCCCCCAGCCCTGCCCCTTCTGCCCCGCTCCAATAGCTAGATTTCACAGAGGAGGTCTGATTTCACGGTCCGTGATGCGTTTTTCACAGCCGTGAATTTGGTAGGGACCTATGCATAACACAGGCCATAGACTTTCACCCAGCAATTCCAGCTCATAGCTTCATGCTGGGCTAGAGTGTCTCTTCTAGAACGACATCCAACCTGGGCGGGGTCTGAACGTCTCGGTATTGCAGAGTTGGGGAACGAAAATATTGGAGGCTCCTAAAATGAGCGGGACACTGTTGAAAATGATACCCTTTGTGTCACTGGATGACCTGAGGCTGGGGTTTTACCCACCTTTATTACGGCTGTGCCCATCATCCCATTCGCAGGGTTGAGGTCGGTTTGGACCTGGCATAAGATGTGTTGCTTAAGCGGGAAGTCCAGTACGGTGACTGTAACTGCGATTGGGGCATGGAGGCCATGGGCTTCCACCACGACCTTCTCTTCACTCTCCACCCGCAGGACGTTGGGCGTGATCAGGGAGTAGCTGTGAATGGCAAAAAGGTCGATGTGATTAATTCAGTCAGTATTTAAAACCCCACTGGCTGCGATTCCCACATCCCCAAGGAGGTTTTATACCAAGCTTGTTACCACGGTTTATAAGTTATTATTTGCTTTACAGCAGCATCTTGAAATCCCAACAGCGACTGAGGCACAGTACAAACACAGAGTTAGAGACAGTTCCTGCCCCTAGGGGTATGTCTACACAGCTGCTGGGAGGCGTGACTCCCAATTTGGGTAGACATAGGGTTTGTCTACACTATGAGTGCGACAGTAGCATAGATGCTTCCTACATCAAGGGAAGGGGTTTTTCTGTCGGCGTAGATAATGCACCATTCATTCCTCCATCAACCTAGCCACATCCACACCGGCAGTTAGGTTGACTTAACTACAGGGCTGCTTAAACCCCTGGGCAATGTAGCTAGGTTGACCTAAATGTTAAATGTAGACCAGGGCACACAGGTGCTAGCTCTGATCGAGCTGGTGCCTAAAAATTGCAGCGGGGTCACGGCAACTGGGGCCCCTGCTTGGACTAGCCGCCTGAGAACAATCTCACCCAACTCCCTGCTTACAGACTCAGGCTGCTGGCCCGAGCCACCCAGTGGCCACTGCGGCCACTGCTGTTTTTTGGCACTTGCCCGAGCCGAGCCAGCGCGTGTAAGTTTCCCTGAGCTGGGCATCACACCTGCCATCGGCTGTGCAGACGTAGCCGAAGACCTTAGAAGTAGAGCTGGTGCCTAGTGGGGGCGTCTCCATGGGAAAATGCTGATGTGGCAAAAATCAAAACGTTCTGCAAGGACACAGCGATTTTGTCAGCTTTTTCAATGAAAACAATGATGTGTTTCAATAAGATGGAAGCACTTTGTTTTGACTTTAATAAATACTAATATAAGATAATGAAATCATTGAGATGTAGGGCTTGATGAGACCTCCAGAGATGATCTAGTGCATCCGTCCACACTTAGGCAGGGTCAGGTGTACCTCGGCCAGTATTTCTCAAATGTGGCCACCAGGAGTTTGCTTCCCAGAGAAATAATTGACTGATTACATCACCCAGGGTGTTGTGAATTCACAAGGAAGTAGGCCTGGAGGGAAATAAAAAGTTTTGCTAAATGTCAGCCAAGTTGTCTGTGTGTCACTGCGGTATGAATGCTGATGGACGATTGGACTCGAGTTTTTCATACCAGATAAAGATCATACACACACACGTAGGCAAAAAGTTCAGGGCATAATGCACTCCTGTCCCTAATGAAAATTGCTGCGAGTGGATGTGTCCCCAGCCTCATCCTCTGTCATAAAAGTCACTGCTGTTGCCACTTTTCTGAAATGGGGGGCCCTGCTGTACACCGATACAGTAGGGGATGCTCTTCCCTTTAAGTCATCGCTGACCCCAATGCCCTGGCATGGTGCTGGGGGTGCTGCATTGCAACTAGCTAGGTGGTGGCTCAGTAGGGGGCGCTGTCTTCCAACTCTGTGCTGATCTTGATGCCCCATTTTGATGCTAGTGCTGTGCTGGTGGGGGCAGGCCCGGTTTAACCCACATGTACTCAGTGCTCTTGCACTGGGCCCCCATTTCCAGGGGTGCCTGGCCACCCGGCGGGGTCGGGGTGAACAAAGCCTACCAGATTATTTTATTTGGCCCATCATAGTCCAGCTTGGGGCAGGCGAGCCGATGGCGCCAGGACCAGGATGGAAACAGAGCCCCCCGCCTACCCCTGCAGGTGCACTATGGTGAGAGCCAATGAGCCGGAGCAGGAAGCCAAGCCAGCCCCATGGGACAGGAGTCACCATATGGGGTAACTGTGGTGTGAGCTCACTCTCCAATACCCTCCTAGTTCCTCCCACTCCCTAGGGGTAGGAACCAACCCCCCCGGTCACACACTCCCCCACCATTTCCATAGTGCAGAGGTGGTCTGCGAGCTCCATTGAGGTGGTCCGCAGATAGTTCCCTCTAAGGTGTGCGCCTGGGCAGCCACACACGAGAAAATGAAGGGCCATCCACTTAATTAGTGGAGTGACGCAGGCGTGTCTTCACTGATTAGGTGCCTGGACCCTAGAGAAGATGCACATGTAAGGTGAGGTGGTGGCCTTGGGGGGCATAAGGGGTAGGAGGGAGGAGGAAGTGGGGTGAGAAGGGGGGGGGAATTTGGGACATGCAGGACTGCTGTGGCCAGAGAAAGAGGTGACTTTCCCCAGCTTGGGGGCTGCTGCGGTGGGGGAGAGAGGGAGAGACCCCTGTGACGGGTTCAGTCACAGAGACCCCCTTGGGACTGTCACCTGATGTGCTGAGACTACCTCTGAGCCCGTTTTCTTTGCCAGCTTGGAACTTCAAAACCCTGTCTTATTGAGCCAGACATGCTAGCTGGCTGCAACACAGACCCAGGGTCTGAACCATGCCCCCAAAGCTACAGACTTAACTGAAAACAGCTCAGCAAGTACTCCTGTCTCCAGCACCCAGACACCCAGCTCCCAATGGGATCCAAACCCCAAATAAATCCTTTTTACTCTGTATAAAGCTTATACAGGGTAAACTCATAAATTGTCTGCCCTCTATAACACTGATAGCGAGATATGCACACCTGTTTGCTCCCCCAGGTATTAATCACTTACTCTGGGTTAATTAATAAACAAAAGTGATTTTATTAAGTATAAAAAGTAGGATTTAAGTGGTTCCAAGTAATTACAGACAGAACAAAGTCAGTTACCAAGCAAAATACAACAAAACACGCAAGTCTAAGCCTAATACATTAAGAAACTGAATACAGGTAAATTTCATCCTTAGAGATGTTTCAATAAGCTTCTTACACAAACTAGATTCCTTCCTAGTCTGGGCCCAATCCTTTCCCCTGGTACAGTTCTTGTTAGTTCCAGCTCAGGTGGTAACTCAGGGATTTTTCATGACTGGCAGCCCCCTTTGTTCTGTTCCACCCCCTTTTATAGCTTTGGCCCAAGGCGCGGATCCTTTGTCTCTCTGGGTCCCCACCCCCCTTCTAAATGGAAAAGCACCAGGTTTAAGATGGATTCTAGTTCAGGTGACATGATCACATGTCACTGTAAGACTTCATGGGAGCCATCAAGGTTCCAAACCACCATTAATGGGCCACCCTTTGCATAATTAAAATAGGACCTCAGAGTTATATTTCATATTCCTAGTTTCAGATACAAGAATGAAACATTCATACAAATAGGATGACCACACTCAGTAGATTTGAAGCTTTGTAATGATACCTTACAAGAGACCTTTTGCATAAAGCATATGCCAATTACATCATATCCACACTCATAAACATATTTTTATAAAGTATATGGAGTGCAATGTCTCACTCAACTTCTTCCCAGCCCCAGCTCAGGCGCTGCTGCAGTGGGAGAGACCCTCCTCCTTCCCAGTCTCAGCACTGTGGCTGCTGTGGCAGAGAAGAGAGGGAGAGACCCCCCCTCATTCCCAGGCCCAGCTCGGGGGCTGTCGCAGCGGGGGAGAGAGGGAGAGACCCCCCTCCTTTCCAGCCCCAGCTCGGGGGCTGCTGTGGTGGGGGAGAGAGGGCACATCCACCGCATTAGAAAGGTAATATTACTGATATTAAAATATGAGTTGTGTGCTTTTATTTGTAGAACAAAAATAAGTTAATTATTATTTTTTTATAGAAAGCTTTTATCCAAAGCACTTTACAATATTTATCTAACAGTACAAACAACATTTGGCAAGATCATTAAGTGGTTTGCCGAGACCCTCAGCGATTTTCAAGTTGTCTGTGAAAAAAGTTTGAGAACTACTGCCATAGTGCACACAGGGCCCCAAAATTCTTTAATCTGGCACTGTTGGGGGTGGGGGCTCGGCAGGGGCGCTGTCCCCTGGAAGTCAGTGCTGGCCCCAATGCCCCAGTGTGGTGCTAGGGGGCGCTGTGCTGCAGGGAGCAGGGTGGGGGACTCAGTAGAAGGAGCTCTCCCGTCTGAGCTAGTGCTGACCCCAGTTCCCCTTGGAAAGAGCGATACTGTGTCCTCCTGCATTCCACCAACTGCAATCGTACGGTCTGCAGCCAGTGTGTGTGACCATGTTACGGAGCCCTCTGGAATGCGCTGCCCTTTGCACGGCCTGACCCTGCCTAGAGAGGAGCATGCTGTGCTGGGGAGTCGTCGAGCATGGGCCATGTTTACTGCTCATCTGCTCCACAGGCAATAAGCAGGGCATGTGCTTGGTACCAGCCGTCCACCAGAGCGCTGTCAAAATGGACCAGGTAGCCCCTGATGTTCCTCTTAGAAGTCCTAGAGATGCAGGTCAGGGTTGAGACCTGGAGTGAGCGCTGCACGGTGGCTACCAAATCTCCTCTCTCCCTCCTGGGGGAACCCTCCCTCCTGCTTTCCTGAAAGTTGGCCCAGGCTCAGAAACATAAATCTCTGGAACCCTTTGGGGAAAGCATCACCGAGGTCTGCGCGTCTGGCCTGCAGCCCACCGTGGTGCATTCCCAGTGGGGTCAAGCTGCAAAACCCAGACCCACATCCAGACGTCTGTCTATCACCCCGAAGTCTGGCGCCCGGACGGCAGCCGCTCCAGCCCCATGGGGAGGGTGGGGACCCGACCCAGGCTCCATATCTGAGTTGGGTCATCCTGACAGATCAATGCATCTCTCATGCAGCTTCTGGCTTCTCACTGGCTCAGCAGGCCCCTGAGGTGGGATGAACCTTTAAGCAGTCCCCTCCCCCCAGTTATGGAGTTATTCCAGTGGAACTAACTACCAGAGTAACTACCCTTTGAAGTCAGTGGAGTTACTCCAGATTTGCACCAGTATACACTGAAAATAGAATTTAGCCCCACTGGGTGTCTTGCAGACATAGACACTGAGCAAGGAGTTCAAGATGTGGCCCTGTAGAACCTGATTCTGGTCTCTTTTTAGGGCCTGATCCAAAGCCCGCTGAAGCCAAGGGAAAGACAATCCCACTAATTTCAATGCATTTCAGGAGGGTGCAACCCCATTGTTTTCTATGGAGTTACTCCCTGTCTACACCTGGTTCATTTAGACCAAGTGAGGCTCAAAATCCAATTTATTCTTTAAAACAATTCCGTCTTCCAAACCCCCAAATTAGCCTCGGAACTGAGCGAGGGAGAAGAGGGTTGGACCAGGTGAGGAGGAGAATTTCTGCAGCCTGTTCCCACTCCACACCCAGTAGCAGAGAAGAGAGGAAAATTGAGCTTGGTTTCCATTGGCAGCCATGTAACGAACGCAGGTAATATCCCCATCACCGTGGCAGAAGCGCGGGGTACTTACAGTTGGCTGTGAGAAACAGCCGGGAAGTAGAAAGCAAACACGGCCACCAGGCAGAGAGCAGAGTCCCCCATGGTGAGCACAGGAGGGTCAAGAGAAGTAGCTCCTCCGGGGCTATTTATCCTCAGAGTTGCCTGTAAGCTGAGCCCTGGTGCAAACAGCTGGGCGGGTTAGTCAGTGGGGGGAGGAGCCCAGGAAACCGGAAAAGTTCAGAACAAACGATATTTTCTTCACTCCCTTGACACAAGGGTTTATTTGTCTTTCCAAGGGGGGGAGTTGGAATTAGGGACCTGAGGCTGTGGTTGTGTTTACTCCCCGCCAAGGTGCTGGCCACAGATCAGAATGGTGGGGCTCTGATCAATACCACAGTTCAGGCCTAGCATGGAGAGGGGGGCTGGAAGTCAGGACTCCCGGGTTCTGCTCCCAGCTGTGAATGAGGAATAGGATCAAGTGGGATAAAGCAGGGGGGGGGCTGGGAGTCAGGATGCTTGGGTGGGATCTACTGCGTTACAATGAGGGGGCAGGCTGAGAATCAGGATTCCTGGGTTCTGTTCCTGGATCTGCCTTTTGACTCTCTTTTACCTTGGGCAAGTCCTGGGATGTTTCAGTAGGGAAAGCGGTTCCAGTCGTGAAGGGAGCCCCGGAAGGGTGGATCTCTCTGTCTATCCCACTCACTTGGATTGTAAAACCTTTGGGGCAGAAACTGTCTCTTAGCCCAGGACTCCTCTACACTCTATTAGGGAATCTACGCTGCTGGTAGCAATGGTGGGAGTGCTAATAAAGACAAGGCACCGGCATGTTCGACCACCCGTCATCTACACCTGCTTTGTATGTTTGCACAGCACCTAGCACAAAGAAGGCCTTTGGGTGCTACTGTCAGGTAACATAAAACTGATCAAAGGAAATAATGTGGAATTAGCCTGTGGAACTCATTACCTCTTAACACCCATTGCCTTATCTCCTGAAGCAGGACTATCATGTGGCAATGTTCCCCCCTGGGCAGGCTATAATTGTCCATAGTAGAGTTTCTTGCACTTGGCTCTGAAATGTCTGGTAATGGCCATGCTTGGCCATGACCCTATGATCTGATCCGGTGTGGCAGTTCCTGTGCCCCTAAGCAATACATCGTGGTTGGTATCTTCAAAGCCACATAGGAGATTCAGACACATTTTAATGGCAGAAGCAGGGCCGGTGCAACCACTAGGCAAACTAGGCAGCCGCCTAGGGCGCCAAGATTTGGGGGTGCTGCCGCCAATCAAGGCATTGGCTGCAGATCGCAGACTGTAGGGAGGTAGGATGTATATGATAAGAACAAGGCTCCCAATGAATTGCTCTCCGGCCATTTAGAAAGCCAGCGAAGTCCTTTGATTGTGAATGGATACAGATAGGTATATTTACACAGTAATAGCTCCTTTGTCTTGTAGGTTGCACAGCAGCCAGAAGGAGAGTGGAGCAGCTTGCGGCCGGAAGTATAAGACCCCCGCTGGGGCTGAGCTGTGCTGTCAGTGTGGTGCAGCCGGGACCGGCTTGCATGGCATGCTCCGAGAGAGGGCTGCAGGATTTGCAGGCAGAGGAGGCTCTGCTGCTCCCTGGGGAGAGAAGGGAGGGACGCCGCGGCTGGCAGCTCTGTGGGCTCTCTAGTGTGGAGGGGCGGCTAAGCCGCTTTAACCCACCTCCCTGCGCCCCGGCTTTCTACCCTCCCGACCCTGCTTTGGCGTGAGGGCCGCGCACTCTCTGCCTCACAGTCCTGCCTGCCCTATGCCCCCCTGCTGGAGCGAGAGCCCAGCATTCAACCAGGGCCGGCTCTAACTTTTTTGCTGCCCCAAGCAGCAAAAAAAAGTGCCGCCCCCCCC